AGTTAACTTAACTTAACCTAACCTGAAACATACACTGCACGACGTGCACTAGTCGACAATTTATCGTGGCTATCGGTGGACGCTATGCCAGACTGGGCGGATATGTCAGAAGCTGAATGGCGATAATAACAGTGTGGGGGGATGGCTTAAATACCCCTGTTTGATGTTCGAGAGACGAATGTTCGTACTATACTTAGTACCAGCGGTTTAAACCAGTGGTAGGGGCGGTTCTTCAAAAGCAAAAAATGTTCCAGCTGGTTAAAAGGAGCATGTATTTTCAATATTTTTGATTGGTTTATGAACAATTTATTAGGAACCTTAAAAAAAAATTTTAAACTTTTTGATGAAGCAAAACATTTGTATATAAAACAAAAAAAATTTTAAAGGTTAAAGTGTCTATAATTAGCTCAAAAAGAGTCAAAATATTTTAAAATTTTATCTTTATTGGAAAATGGTAGTGTTATAAACATTTTGTAGAAACTAGAAATGTTAAATACCTACATGGATTTATTTTTGAGTTACTGCAAAAAATGGTTTTGGGTAAAAATTCCTGTTTTTACTTATTTTTTTTGTTTTTCTCGACGCGTTTAAAAACTCTGGCAATCTTCAATCTTGACCAAATTATATTCAATTTGCTTGCAGAAACAAACCCATATTTAAAAATCTATTATTTGTTTGACTACTTATCTGCTGTCAAGTTCAAACACATCAAATGTTTATACATAATTATAAAATAAATTTGAAATAAGAATTTATTATATGGAAAAATTGACGAAAAACTAGTTATTGAAAAAAATTGAGTTTCTTATTTTGTTGCAATTATGAAAACGAATAACTGTAGACAATGGAAGTTTTCACCACATATTGCTGTTTTTATTTCATGAATGGGACCTTATTAAAATTTTTCTATAAGGCATAAATAGCCATGAGTGTTAGGCATTACTAGCTAGTGCATTAGGTAGATACTACATTACTGCCTAGTTGATTAACTAGATACTAGGTACATATAATATGATTTATTTATTTGTATATTTAAACGGGTGAGTCCAATTACATACGTCTAGAATTTACAATAATATTTGTTAATACAGTATTTTATAATAATACATAGATAGGTGCATATATTATTTTTACTTTCAATATATACGCAGTCTTGTGAACAATACTTTCTTTTAAAAGTATTTTAATATTAACACAAATACCTTTTAAAATAATTCAAAATACTATGAAGGGTGACCAGATTGTGTGTCTAAAGGGCAAACAGAACATTTATATAAATTATTGTTTAATGATACACAACTGGTACTCATATATACCTGTTTACATAATATTTAGGAGATATTACAAAATCACCAATCCAAAAATACATCACCATACTCCATAATAGCGTTTTCATAATAGAACTTAAATGATAATACTCCTCGGATTCACTTCATCAAATCACTGTCGTCAACTACTAAGTACGGGCTTATACAATTATTCAAAATTTCAAAATGTATTGTTTTAAGTTAAAGTATAGAAAGATATACAGGGTGATTCTTTCATAATTAACTCATTATTTCAAAAAGTATTAATGTTTTTGAAAATATTTTTTTAACATAGTTTCAAGTTGTTAAAAAAACAACGTTTTTATTAAAAAAATTAAATTTTTAAATATTTTTGATCCTTATAATTTTTAAGTGTTTTCCTTTTTTGGAAAAAAACAAGTTTTAACTTCATATTCCAAAGCAGAATATTTTTCTAAATATTTTGATTCATAAAAATCGAATTAATTGCGAGTAGTTTATGAGTTATAACTTTATAAGTATTTAAAGTATTTTTTTTTTTTTTTTTGTAGAGAAGTGAATCTAGTTGGTAGTTAAGGTGACCAAAAGTAAATAATTTTAGCAGTTATAAATGCGTAGGAAAAATGAAAAAAAAAATTAAGGACGAACGGGAATTTTTACGTTAAACCTGTAATTTTTTTTTAAAAAAAAAACCTTACCTATACGTATACTTATATATATTGCCTAAATATTTATATTACCATTTTCTTTACATGATAAAATGTTTAAATATTTAGGTGCTTTTTAAACAATTTATAGGCATAAATTATTTGTTTTCAATTTATTGTTGTCGATTAGTACTTACTTGAAAGTAATTGTTAGTTTTTAACTTGATGATGTTTTATAATATCCTTTAATGTTAGGTAGATTCTTTTTAAAAAATATTTAATAATTCATAAAATGTTTTTAAATAGATATTCAAAATTAACTAAAAGAATTGGTAGCATATACCCAAATGAAATCATTTATACCTTATTATGTTGTTACGTGACAAGTTTATTATAAACATTTCCATGTCAAGGTCAGGAACATATTTTAAACATTAAAATAACTGTACGACGAGATGGTAATGATGACGTGTACTTTAGTTACTTACTCTATGGAACACATCTGCAGTAGCTGTCATTCAGACCAACCATAATTAAAAATGTATTGAATTGATTAAAGTGATGATTACTATTTGGTAGTTTGTAATAACACCACTCAATGGTATCTTAGAAAACCTTGGTACACAATTGAACAAAAACTTAGTACATTAACCTTCAGTAGGTCACGCTGGTTGTCAGTATATATTCCGCCGCGAGGGTTAAAATATCCCTTGATTAAACATAATATATTTTCTTTCACATTTATTTATTCTAAATTTAATATTGCATTTGTTTTATTTTTTTACTTATTAGACAAATTAATGATAGGTATATTATTTTAAGCTAATTAAAAAAGTATTAACATTATTTATATAATATATAACAAATAAATAGAAGATAGATAAACCACACTTATACCACCCTAAATAGTATTAAAACATAGTTTAAAATTAGTGTGGTAATAAATTACCCCACGCGACCTACTGCGAAGGTTAACGACTCTGCAGCAGTATATATTATTGTCTATTGAATATGTTATATACCTACCTATTATATTGGTTAAATGCGAAGTCATAAGAGGACGCCACACCCACATGTGTTGTCTGCGAAATCTTACGAACGCTTAATATACCAAATTTACGCTCAGCAGATCACGTTTTATGCTGTTAGCTTAAAAATTAGAGCCGACAATTAGAATCGACCTAGTGTGAAACTTGATGGTAAGAACATTATCTGTGTTTTGATGGAAGTTTTTTTACGATTATTCAGTTTTTAAGTGAGTTACCTATGCGTGTATAATAAATGTAAATCAAAAATGCTCATAAATCACTTAAAAACTGAATTATCGTAAAAAAACTTCCATTGAAACAGTTTTTGTCATATATAGAAACAATGGAGTATATAATAACAAATTTGTTATTGAGCAGAAAACTCATAATACGAACAAAATAAAAATGTATTTAAAAGAAATGATCGGCATCTGAAAATAACATAATATCGTTCATACAATTCAACAAGTGATCAAAAATCCCTATTGTAATACATTATACATGTAAAGTAATAACTACTACAAATGTAGAAAATAAATGTATTTAGTAATATAATAAAAAAATACAAGTCCTAAAGACTACAAATTCGTACTTAAATCTGAAAAACTATGCAATTACAGAATATTGGGTATACATGTAAGAATCGATATAATACATAATACATATATATTATAATATAATATTACATAATATATTATATCAAAAAAAATAATAACCAATTATAAACACGTGAAATTTGTTTTTGAATCTAAATGACAAAATAATTAAAACAAATAAATAAATAAAATAATCCAAATAGTGTGACAAAATATCAGACGATCTCCTGTATACATTATCATGATATGATAAAAATATAAAAATATAATGTAATATATATTACAGTTTAGTACTGTGTAGATTATGCTATATATAATACCTGTACCCAACACTAATTGGCACCATATTATTGTTTAAATATATTGAGACCGAGACTGATGTTTTGACTGAAAACCCGGCTGTTATTCATCAGTTGACACAAATCACAATATTATTATACATTAATATACATTTTTTTTTTTTACGCGATTTGGGATCATTTCAGTAGACTCCGGTGTTTTTGAATAAAATAAAAGTTTTCAAATATTTTTTTTTGAACAATTTTAAATACCGAACAAGTGTTTTAGGTTTAATGTAAGTGTAAATAATTATTATCATAGTGAAAAGACGGTAGATGGGTAACACGCAATAAAGTCGTAAGAACTAAAAAAAAAACACATACAAATCTATGCTTACTCTCACTTAAGACTTTATACGTATCATCAATAGCGGCCGTTGCGTTCCAAAGGTCTTAACGTCCGTATAGCTAAATAGAAAACAGTTTAAAGACCTACGACCAAATCCGTTAATATAAAAACGAAACTTAGAAAAACTGTCATTTGCCACGCCATTATAATAGCGCATAATATTTTTATTCACGATCTCCGTCGATCCATATATAGAAGTGGTTGGTAAAAAAATTCTGATTAACTGATTATTTGGTATGAATTTATAAAGAAGTCAACTAAAATTCAAAATTAATAAATATCAATCATTTTACATCGGTCATTGAATTAATGTCAATACTAAAAAATACAATAGAATTATGCTTTATTTTTTATGTTAATTTAAGTAAAGTTTAACTATATGAGAACAACGTAGTGAAATATTATATTATATTGACCTTTGTTTCATTGCTAATTATTGACAAAGGCAATGAATGCATTTAAATTATAATCCTTATACATAATATTTTGAATCGTCGCTTGTTAAATAATCATGGTTTTATTTATTTTTTTACCGTGACCCGGATTATTGTATTGATACAGCAGTACAATTACTTGGCTTACATCTACAATTTATGATAAATGGTTACAAAATATATGGTTTGAAAATCGATACGGAAAACACGAAAGTCGCTCCCGTCGTCGTCGAAAGCATACAAATAGTACCTACCTATACTCTAGAGCTTATACTAATAAATTATATTTTATTATGAGTATATACACGAATCAACAGTATACCTACTCGGCAAGTATATTACCGTATTCCTTTAGCAGCCGGCTCTTGATTTCCTTCATCTCGCTAACCTTCTTTTTCAGGTACATGACCCTGACCTGGTTCTCGTGGTACTTCTGCCGCTTGGCGTACCACGACCGTCTTGCCGCCTCATTTTTCCTCTTCCGCTTCATGACGGATGTCTGGTCATTATGCTGCTGCCCGGCCGTCAACCCGCGACTGTCGTCGTTTTTGTTGTTGTTGTTGTTGTTGTTGTTGTTGCTGGACCGTCTCATTTTATGGCTATTCCTCGGCGGCCTCAAGCTCTCCATGTACCGTTGGCGGAGAGACAAGAATTCTGACTGTCTGTATATGGCTGCCACCTCTTCGGGGTTCACGACGTCCACGTCGTCCGTCTCGCACACCTCGATGTGGGGGTGGTGGTCTGGGTCTAAATCCTGCTGATGTTGCTGCTGCTGGTGATGATCGTCAGCGGTTGGACTCGGAAAGTGGTTGGACACGGACGAGGACGGCGGTGACGTAGGGTTCAGCGGGACACCACCGACCTGCAGCTTTAGCTTTTCCTGCTCGTCGCAGAGATGATAGAGCTGCAACTGGAGCTGGTTCTGAAGTTTGAGATGATGCTGCAGTTGCTCGAATTGCATGTGCAGATGTTGCGCCTCTTTCATTTGGTTGTTTCGGTGAAACTGATTGGCCGTGGACGTTGGAAGAACAGGTGAAGACGTGCTGTACTCAGGGACGGCTACGGGCGACGAGACCTTGTGCCAGGAAGCGGAAGCGTCGGAGCACATTCCATGCAGTGGTGCCAAGTGTTCCGTGGCCATCATTGGCGGCTGCGGCTTCAATGGCTGAGACGATCCGACCTGCACCATTTGCGACAGTACCACCACTGTGGCACTTTGAGCAACGTTCTCGGACGTCGGTGATGGCGGCGGCGGTGGCTGCAAAGGTGATCTTCTGGTGCTCAAGTCCAGTGGCGTTGATTGAACGTCGTTCTCAGAGCTTGACTTCGGAAATGGCGTGCCCTCCGTCAATTTCCCTGGTACATCGATTTCCGCCTCCAAATCTGAGATGGCATAGTTCTCCTCCTTCTTCATGGTCAAGTCCAGTGGTACCACCTCCGTCTCGGGTTCATCCCATTCCATTGTCAGACTCATCACTATCGTCATCCAAATTCCAAAGACGATGCAGTGGTTGTTGTATAATCAGCTGCTGTAAAAAGAAAATGTACGTTTTAATTACAAAACAAAAAAATGTGTCCCCGAAAGTTTGACGTCTAAGGACGTAGAATAAGATATCGTCCCTCGTATTGGTATAAACCATACATATAATACGCGTTACAATAGTGAAATCCACGGTCAGTGGTCATGTCTATAATATATATAGGCCTATATAGCTAGATTAATATCGACCGTGCAGTTCAAGACTGAAAAACAATTCAAAATAATTTGTGTAAAAACTAGTGAACTATGGGTACACCGAATATCTTAGGTTCTTTTTTCAAAACAATTTCAATTCAAGAACGAAAAAAAAGTGTTGAGAGTTATCGCAGTTCTATATTGAACCAGGTGGTCGATTTTTAAGTTATTAAATACCTAAATAAATGCTTTTTTGCGTACATTATGCGGTTGATCGTCTACATCGGTGACGTAGCACGGCCGAAATGTGATAATATTTACTTCCTGCCCGCGACTTATTCGTAAAAATAACGACTGGACACCATGGTATAATAATCAATTGTTATTGGCGGGTGAACCATTTGAGCGTGAGGGCGAGTGACCAAAGGCACGTCGGTCGTAAAACGGACGGTATAAGTACGCATTGGTTCCACTGATTCCCGTCCACCTCAATATTTACATACATTTTAGTATTTTTCTTTGACACCGCGCATCTATTTTGATGAAATTTAAACGTAAATCGATACTCTAATATTTGAACCTACCATGACTATTATACAGGTTATTTCTACTATAATATACACGAGGCTTAAATCAGTCCCTAAAATATCCAAATTTTAGTACAACATACATAGTCCAAAATCGGTCAAATTTTAATTATTTCTAGATAAACACTTAAAACACTAGTATACTACATATACCACCGTTCACTACTAAGCTGATAAAAATTAATAGTTTATAATAATAACTATAATAAGAATATGATACGTAACAACACAAAAATGCACTGTGTGTCTGCGTAGAGTGTAGATAATAATTAAAAATATGAGGTTTGGTAAAAAACCATTAAAATAGAGTTTATAATATAATATTCAAAATAATTCAGATATATAGTTATTGTATATTTGTATATGCCATATGGTATGGTAAAAAAAAAATAAGTAATAAAAATATATAATGTGGTAAATTTTTAAAATAGTGGTTTGATAGCCAGTCGTGTATAAGAGAATCTATTGATTTTTGTATTTAAATAATCGTCAAAACCGTTCGCCGTATTATGTTGTGGTAAAAAAAAAAATTAAGCAGTAAAAATACAAAAGTGTTCATTTTTAAAATAGTGGTTTGAAGCTAGTTTCATATAAGTGAATCTATCGATTTTTTTATTTATTTTATCTTCAAAAATGTTTGTTACATATATTTTTTTTTTGCTGATTTTATTATTGTTTTGACTTTTTATTATAATACAAGAATAAGTTTGTATTTTTAAATTTTGTTACGAGTTAACTACAAATAAGCCTTTTAAATTTTGTTATTATTTAAATAAACGATTTACAAATATTCAGTGGATTGATAGTCGATAGCCAGGGGGCCTATTCTTGAAAGTAGTAGAACGATAGTCGTATACGAATATTTGTACATTTTCTACTACTTTGACCAAACCGTATTCTTGAACGCCGGTCGTACACGAACCGATTCTATTCTACTACCGGATTCTACTACGAACGGGTCGTGTGGCGTATCGTAGTAGAATCTTATTAATCGTATACGAATAATCATTTACGCTGTAATATCTCCCGATTTAATTACGCATTTATATGAACCTAGTACCTAAGCTAATACACTTTTTAATTATATTATTATTTATACCAATATTAATGTATTATTTATTATATTTCACACATTTTTTTTCTAATACCTATGATCATTATAAAGTTTAACAACATTATGTAAATATGTAAAATATACATATATTATGTGAAAGTATAGAGTATAAGTGGAATAATAGATAAACATTTTACGAGGTACTTGTTCCACTCCCACACTAA